ATATAACATTTTTTTTGTAATTTATAATTTATCATTAAATATATTAAAAAGTTAGAGGTATAATTAATGACTTATTAGTTTGGACGAAAAGAGTCCGATTCTACTTAAATAAAGTTTCAAATTTACATCTTATAAATTAAGAGATAAACATTATGAAAGATTCTTTTCTTATGAGGTTTGACAAGATTTGACTCTAAATTAATTAAACCTAATGTGACTTTTAAATATTAAAAAATTTAGTAAAAAAAATAAAGGTATACATTCATTAAAAAAAAAGATTATGCATAAAATTATTAATGTTTTAAAATATTGGAACCACAAATGAAATTCACCCAAGAGGGAATTTTATATGTTCTCTTTGAAAGAACATGATTGATTGAAACGTTATATTCAATTATCACTATAATTCAATGATTATAATTTTTTTGAGAAGAGTAATAATACTTAAAAATTTAAAATTTAAATTTTGATAATTTCATTTTTAATCCTCTAATTGTACTAATAATAAAAATAAAAATAATAAAAAAGAAATCGTTCTATTAAAAAAAAACACGATTAAAATCATTTAAAAAGGAGAAAGTCCAAAATCATGTAGGTACTTTCAACTTCAAAGAAAAAAAAAAGAGCGTCCTCCTTTGAAAAGTCAAATAAGTTCTCTTCAAAATATCTCTTTCCATTTTTTTGGTATTATGTATCCCAAACACAAACCCCCACCGAATTTGGATTCAATACTTCAGAGGTGGACAGCTTTTTCGAAAAAGTTATTTTCTCTTCTGCTGTCTCCTGGTAGTGAAGGTTGCAGAGCTCCAAGCTGCCAATGATGAATGCCAAACCAAAAAGTGAAACTACCATACCATCCGGTTCCCGTTTCGACTAAAGGGACAGCAACCGAACACTGCAGCTATCATGGGTTTGAACTCTCCTGCGAAAAAAGGCAGACTGTGCTCGAGCTGCCACGAAGGGTAAAGTTGTTTGTGAAGCGTATAGATTACAAAGCAGAGAGGATTCAGTTATATGATCCTCAGGGTTGCCTTCCCCTGCAACTTCCCAATCTCAATTTATCTGCATCTTCCTTCCAATACTTGAGACTAACTTCCCTCCGGTTCAATTCTGCCGAGCCAAAGTACAGTCTTTTCAATTGTTCAAGGGAAGTAACTGTGGGTATTAATTATGATTTTTATGAGATACCTTGCTTAAGCGTCCCAGGCTTCCAAGTTCTAGCTTTTCCTCCCGATTATACATCTGCTTTTAACTTGCTAAGTTACCGGGAACGTTACTCAACAGATCGGAGACAGCGGTATACGAAGATATGTTGTATTACCAGACGGGGTGTTCATTTGAGTTCGTCCCAACCAGATTGTAGTAAATGTGAAGAAGTAGGTAGCAAATGCAAGCTGAAGAATAATAATAAGACACAGGATGACACAGAGTGTTATGGTACCACCAAGAATGACAGAGGTATGCTTTTATATTTATGTTATTATGATTTGCACGTGGATTTATTAATGATATTTTGGTCATTCCCAAGCAGACTATCATTTTTTTAGCCATTCTAGACTTAAAAACTGCAACCTTGTGCTTTTAACTATTCGACAATGTTATGAATACTCATTGCAATGCTCTCACTGGTTTAGTTGTTTTCCTTTAATTTTGCCTTGTTTTAAGTTGTTTAAAATTTTTCTGGACTTTAGTTGTTCAATTGCCTTAGTGTTTGTTGTGTTTGGTACTTTGGTTTTGACTTGCTTGTATATGGTATCTCATTTTTTTTTATTTGATAAACACATCAAGCTGCTGATTGTTGGAACGTCTTGCAGTTAGCGGAAAAAGCTACTGTCTGCAGGCATAATCCTAGGTTTCCGTCTATTTGTAATAATTCTCACTGGACTTGACCGTGTGCACCACTCATATAGATCAAAGAAAGAGGGCCAACTCAAGATTGAAAATTTTCTGGAGGATTACAAAGCACTCAAGCCCTCAAGATGTTCTTATGCTGTATCAAGAGAATAACAGATCAGTTTAAGGACAAACTAGGAGAAGGTGCTTATGAAACTGTTTTCAAAGGAAGGCTTCCCAATGATGTTCTAGTTGCTGTTAAGGTTCTTAACAATTTCAAAGCAACTAGAGAAGAGTTCATTAATGAAGTTGGATCTATGTGCAGAATCCACCATGTCAATGTCACTCGCTTGATTGGATTTTGTGCAGATGGAAATAAAAGAGCTTTTGTTTACAAGTACATGCTGAATGAATCATTGGAGAAGTTTATCTTTGCAACCAGCGACCAAACTCACTCCCTTAGTTGGGGGAAGCTTCAAGATATTGCAATAGGAATGGCCAAAGGAATAGAGTACCTGCATTAGGGTTGTGATCAACAAATCCTTCATTTTGATATCAAGCCTCCCAATATCTTTCTAGACCACAACTTCAATCCTAAGATCTCCGACTTCACTCTAGCAAACCTGTGTTCCAAGGAACAAAGTGCTGTTTCTATGACAGCAACCAGAGGAACAATAGGAAATATTGCGCCTAAGGTATTGTCTAGGAACTTTGGAAATGTGTCCTATAGGTCAGATGTTTATAATTTTGCAATGCTATTGTTGGAAATGGTAGGAGGGAGGAAGAATATTGACGTCACAGTGGAGAGTATGAGCCAAGTTTATTGCCCAGAGTGGGTGTATAATTGCTTGGACAGAGGAGAAGTGCTGGGGATTAGAATAGAAAATGAGAGGCATGCCAAGATAGCAAGAATACTTACAATTGTTGGACTTTGATGCATCCAGTGGTACCCAATAGACCGTCCATCAATGAAATCTGTGGTTCATATGACGGAAGGTGAAGCTAACAGTTTGACAATGCCACCAAATCCCTTTGCCCATGCAGATGGAGCACAGATAGGTGCCAACATCCCTAGGAGACCAATTAACAGAGAATTAACAGTAATCTCTGAGTTAGAATGATAGAAATTCTTTTTATTCTCCACTTTAAAAAAAAAAATCTTATCTAAATAATTGTACTACAGAAAAAAAAAATTTATAATAATTGTGCCAAAGAATGAAAATTGTAATAGTTTTACTATATAAATCCCCTAGTTGAAGCATAGTTTCTATTTCTATTTTAATTTAGTAACAGTTTTAGTTGACATTGCGAGTTCATGATATTAATCTTTGTTTCAAATAAAATTAGCAGAGTTAGTCTCTGCTTTGACAGATAGTTGGGAAGCATAGAGAGAACTAGAATTGGCTATTTACTAAATCAACAATTCAGAATATGGAAAAAATATGCAACAGTTTCCACGACTAAGCACATTTACCTGGCAATGAATTTGGGGCAGACCTTTATGTTCTAGTAGCATTTGACATAGTTGGCTTATACTTGCATGATGTGTTGTTGGAAATTCAGAATGAACTAAACTAGCCCTGGGAGGCATTTCAAGGAGATCAACTTTAGGACTTTGCCCATGGATGGGCGAATGACAAGTTTCATTTGCACCGATTCAATTTGTTTCAATTCGTGGTTTACTCGATTTTTACATTGCCCTGATTTAGAGGACAAATGGAAAAAATTTGCCTCTAAAGAAACCAAAACCCTTTACATAACATAGGACAAGAATTCCACACAAGTGACACCTATCTCTTTGAAATTTTAAAGTCAAGGTACCAAAATGAAATTCGTTACAATGTTGATAGACAATTTTATCAGTCTTGGTAAAAGACTACCGAACATGCTATTGCTAAAAGATATTGGAGTTCTGGAAACAATTACTTTGATTCAAACAATAGTTTGTAATTCATAGATAGAAAACTGAGTAGGTCATCTACCAATTCAACAATATACAAGATTATGGCACAATACAAATCAACCAAATGCCCAAGGAATCTGATATATTTTACATGATGAATACTCAGTGGGTCATCTACCAAATCAACAATACAAGATTATGACACAATATTCAATACTAATTCCTCTGAATGTGCATTTACCTAGAAATGCATTTGGAGCAGACCATTAGGATCTAGCATCAAGCAACATAGTTGGCGCAGCTGCTGGACTTATACTGCCATGGTCTAGAGATGATAATTCGGAAGGAACAAAAGCAGGCTTAGGAGGTATTTCAAGGAGTTCAACTTCACTTTCAAGCATCTCCAAGACTTTGGTCATGGAAGGACGAATGGCAGGTTTCATTTGTATGCACCACAAGGCAACCATGGCCATCTTCCTTACAACATTCTTTTCAAAATCAGTAACATCTCCCAACTCTATATCCTCTCCTTGATCAAAACGTTCATAAATCCATTTTGGGAAATATATCTGACTTAAATGGTCAGCAAATGCATTTAAATTCCTTCTCCTTCCCACCATTTCCATCAACAACATTCCAAAGCTATATACATCAGCTTTGTATGAGATGCCTCCAATATTCTTGTAAAATAATTCTGGAGCCATGTATCCTGGAGTACCTCTTGCTGAGGAAAGAGATACAATACTACCATCTGTTGGATATAATTTTGCAAGACCAAAATCTGAAACTTTTGGATTAAAGTTCTCATCCAAAAGGATGTTTTGTGGCTTGATATCAAAATGTAGAATTTGCATTTCACATCCTCGATGTAAGTATTCAATTCCTCTAGCCACTCCAAGAGCAATTTCAAACATTCTTTGACACGTTAAAGATGTGTTGTTTTCACCAGAAAATATGAGTTTATCCAAGGATCCATTTGGCATGAAATCATATAAAAGAGCTCGTTGAGATCCCTCCACGCAAAATCCGATTAGTCGCACCACATTAACATGATGAACCCTTCCAATGGTAGCAACTTCATTGATGAAATCTTGGCCATTAGCTTTTGATTTGCCTAATAATTTTACTGCCACTAAATTGCCACTTCGAAGCTTTCCTTTGAAAACCGAACCATAACCTCCTTCCCCTAATTTATCCTTGAAACCTCTAGTCATTTTCTTTATTTCAGAATAAGAGTACTTAATAGGCAAGAAGTTGTTATGCTTTTGAAGGAACTCTTCAATTGTATCATCTGCAGACAAGTGTCTCCTACGAACCTTGTACACAATAACTGCAATCAGGATAGATAGCCCTAGCAAAGCTCTTGCCAAAATAAGTCCACCTTATCACAAAAAATTAGGAACAGGATCACATCACATTGCTATAAGTCTCTATTACCCAAGAAGCAATTCTTTTTTTCTTTTCCTTTTTTTTTTTTGAATATGTGGAATTAAGACTAACCTGTTATTTCGAGAAATATGGTATCAGGATCTGTTACAATAACAAATTACAAAAATATGTAAGCATGTAAAGATATGGTCATAAGGAATAAGTATCAATGCCAATAAAGATTGAATTAGAAAAGCATACCTTTATAGTATTGGTAAAAAATATATACTTGACCTCGAATTAAATGTTTAAAGTCCCAAGGTAAATAATGCACAAGGGTCCTACTGAAATATACATTCAACAAAAGATAAGCAGGAAGAGATATCAGTAGATGGTAAGGCGATGGATATAAGAATGAAAAGGATTTGAAGAACATCAAACAGAAGAGCATTAAAAACCTCATTGGAATAATCCTAGTATTGGTCCCCTCAATTAAGTTATTAATTTTTTAATCAAGCCTCCACTAGCCTCCGTTCCAAATACGTCCCTTAGAGTAACTTTCATGCCATTTAAGTCCCTTCAACTTCATGATTCTTAATTTTCCTCTGTTCTCTAGTTAGGATATGTAATTTTGATCAATTAAAAAGTGCAGTACAAGGGAAGGGCTTATTTAATACTGAATTAATTTTGAGGGGCTTTATTCTCTTCCAAGCGCTTCAAGCATTAATTTTTAAGGCACATTCTCTACATCTCTCAAGGTTTATTTCTCCTCACTTCTCTCCCATGAACTCTTCCCTTCTCAAATGCGAAAATTGCAATAACTCAAAAAACTAATTTGAATCCTTCCACTGAATTCCTTTGTTTTTTTACAGATTTTGAAGTCGGTAATTAAATTACTCTTTTCCTTATGCTGTTTATTTGTCACAATTCTTGGTAATTTCTTTCGTGATTTTAAACACAATATATTCGATATGTCTATGTCCCAGTGTGTTCAAGTCAAGCTTACTGTTGGTAGACAGTCATTATTTCATCTTCTCTTGCTTCTTTTTTTTTTTTTTTTTT